AAAAAAAAAAACATTATTTTCCGCATACTGTACATTATTGTTTCTGTATGCCCCGCCTTTCTGAAATACTTTCTGTAGATTTTTACAAAGCTCATCGGTCTGAAAAGCGAGGTGTGCTGTGATTGGCCAGCTATCCAGTGCGTTGTGATTGGCCGAATACCTCAAGCGTGTGACGGAAATGTACCATACTGTCAGGCCGTGTCCTGGAGCGACGATTTGTAAATACAACTTAACCACTGATTTCTAGTCGTGTCCTCTTTTGGAAGACCAAACAGTAGTTTCGCTTTCACAACGAAACACACGGCGGGCTAGAGTGAGCGGCGGCGGGCGGGCTTGAGAACAGTGTGGCCGGTGGGCTTGCGGCAACCACATGTGGCGATCCACAGCGCGAAGTTGATGTATTCCCTCAGTGACCAGCACGGATCAGCTCTACGCATGACAAAGCGGATATCGTCCTCTTTTGGAAGGCCAAACAAAGTAGTTTAGCTTTCACAATGAAACACACAGCGTCTCGACATGGCGGCAGCAACAATACTACAGCGAGAATAAAAGTTATGCCGCCTTCCTTTGCGTGAACATTTGGGCGGCGTTATGCAAATCTTCCCACATTTGTAGACATGTGGGGGCGTGTTAGAACGAGCCATTTTAGGTAGGCGTGGTTGACTCTTAACTTTTATAAAGAATATCTCTTTAGATTTGAGACTTTAGTCTTTGCAACTTTACAGATTTTCTTTATGCACCAAGAGCTTGTAACACTTCAAAGAGAAAGGAAAAATTTTAATCTCATCATATGACCCCTTTAAATTTTATTTTAATCAAAATGACTTGAATGTTTTTGTTTTTTTGTCATAATTCCAGCTTCTTTATTTAAACTGGCTATTACTTTTCTGTTTTGGCTGTGTCTGTTTTACCAGTATTGTCTTATTAAAGTAAAAATAGAGCGAAATAGTTATGAGCAGTGTCCAAGCCTGCTGCTTTTTTTTTCTCTCTCCCTTCTGCACACGACCACCCTCCTTTCTGTTTCTCCCTGTAAAGAACGGCTTGCTGCGATGTACAGAGTTTGTAAGTGAACTTGTTTGTCGTTAGCTTAACGACTGTGCTGTGTCAGTGGATTGTGATTGTTAGCATTATCATCATGCTAACAAAGCTTTGTTAATTCTGCCTGCTCAAACATGCTTGGCTTGTGTATCATCCTCTAACTCTGCATTTAGTATGTGCAGGCTGATGTAATACAGCTGACGTGAGATGATGATAAGTCTACATGAAAATGACAAGCTTTTGAAAACCTGTTTCCTATTTAAAAACCCTATCCAAAATGTCCTAATTTTTTCCCCCAAGTAATTTGTAAACTAATTATATACACTATGGACAAATGTATTGGGACACCTGATCATTACACGAGCAGGGACTTAAATGACATTGCATTCTAATTTAATATGGAGTTGATCCTCACTCTTTCCATGCATCTAGGAAGACCCTTCACAAGATTTTGAAGTTTGGAACTGGGAATTTTTGCAAATTCATCCAGATGAGTTTTTGTGAGGTCAGGCACTGATATTGGACGAGAAGGCCTGGCTTGTAGTCTCCATTCCAGTTCATTTCTAAGGTGTTCAATGGGGTTGAAGTCAGGGCTTTGTGCAGGTCAGTCAAGGTTTTTCACACCAAACTCATCCAACCATGTCTTTTTGGACCTTGCTTTGTGCACTGGGGCACAGTCATGCTGGAATAGAAAAGAGCCTTCCCCAAACTGTTCCCACAAAGTTCACACTAAAAAAATAATGTGTGGAAAAATATCAAATAAAATTTATGCAAATATTTGCATCAATCTTTTTGAGTTATGAAAACTTCTAATGAAATTGTTCAATCAACAAACTACATTGTGTTAAGAGGAACTTAATAATTGTAGCATAAACACAAACACAGTTTTTGTGCTAATATTAATGCCAGGGGAAGTTTGGAACTCTTAAGCCATGGAATTAGGCTTTTATGCACCACGCGCCTCAGATGTCTGTGGCCCTGCTCTGTGACTTTATGTGGTCGTCTTTATGGCGGAGCTGGTGCTTTTCCTAAATGGTTCCACTTTCCAATAAAACCACTTACAGTTCACCATGGAATTTGTTGCAGGGATGAAATTTCATGAACTGACTTATCACATTACCACGCTTGAATTCACTGAGCTCTTCAGAATGACCCTTTTTTTTTGTTTGTTTGTAAAAAACAAAACTGGATGACTGGATGGGCTAGGTGCTTGATTTTATACACCTGCAGCAATGGGTCTGATTGAAATACATGAATTCAATGATTAAGAGGTGTGTCCCAAAACTTTTGTCCATATAGGCTGTGTCCAAAAGCCTATCAGGCAATGACTTTGCAGGTAGCATTTTGTGCAGGAAGGTACCTCAAGAAACTGATTTCTGGCAGATGTCTGAAGCAGCATAACCATTTAAAAATCTACAGCAAAACAGAGAGAACTTTGGTGATAATTAAGTGAATATTCAACTACTATAATACTAATTTCTTGCTAGAAATGACATAAAAAATTTGAAAAAAAGCACACACACACAAATTGGCCATCAGCCGTAACTGGAACTGTTACAGAATGGAACACACAGGTTTGTGGGATATCAAAGGCAGCGAAGGATAGGCCAACATCTAATCTAATCTGCCTTCAAAAATCTATCAGATGAAGGTATCTCAGTTGACACGGATCATTGATCACGATCATTGTATTCGGACGTGCCTTGTCGCCTTCCTACCCCACCTGCTGAGACAGAATTTTTCACCTTTCGGACGCAGCCATACTCTGTGTGTGTGTGTGTGTGTGTGTTTGTGTGTGTGTGTGTGTGTGTCTTTTTTTAAACTCCAGTATGTTCTTGGCTGTGTAGGTTCAGTATTTATCGCATTGTCTAGTATCATGGTAAAATTTCCTTTTACTTGGTTTTATAAAATGCCTATTCACACCAAGTCTGACCTTTTGTCATTTCTATCTGTCTTTACTGAGTGTAGGTTGATTTTACATTGAACTTTTACATGGCACTGTATGATGAAAAACAGTGGCAACAATCAAGGAAAAGATGTGATATGGCAAGGAATTTTAATCTACTCTCCTTATATATCATGTCTGTTGCATATCTGTGTTAATATTAGTATGAACCATTTATGTATAATAGTAGTATTTGACCACTTATTACCAAAAAACCTTGGTATTCCTATATTTCAGTGCTTTTTAGTCACACTATTTTTACTATTTCCATAGTTCCACTGCAGAAGAGTGACAGCATTTCTGTTTTAGGAATGGGTTGTAATTTGCATTAAAGCATGTGAATTTTGATTCAGGCATGCAAATTTGTATTTATTTCAGAAAATTACTAAGATTTACATTGTAACTGGGTCAGTTTTTTGGCAAACTTTTTTTGTTACTGCATCAGACTTGGTGTGAAAAGCCTTAATATGGTGGTTATGTGAGCTTTATGTAGGCAGTTTGAATAATGTATTCTGAAGCCATGAAGAACAGGAACATTGAATACTAATAAAATGCTCTGGCTAGATGCTTGTCAAATGTTTTTTGCAAATGACAGGCTACCTTAATTGATTGTGTAAGCACAGTATGATAATTTACTTTTTGCCAACCAACCAATGAATGCTCAAGATAAGGAAATGTGTTTCAAGTGTGTGTTTTTTGTATAAGCAACAGCATTTAATGTAAAACATTTTAAGAAGTCTTATGGCTGGTAAATGAGCAGAAAAAAAATAATTGTCTGCCTGTAAGGTTTACATTCTAAATTTTAAGGTTTAGGATTCCAAACTCGCTTGGGCTTTGATAACTTGAATATTTGCTCTAATTACCTATTTATTCTAACTGCATGTCCTGCTTAAGCTATGGGTATTTAACTGTATATGAACACTGAAAAAAACAATATGCATGAGCGAGTGTAGCTTACAGGTTTTTATTAAATTATAGTATCAAGTCCAGTGGTTCCCAACCACGTTCCTGGAGGCCCCCCAACACTGCACATTTTGCATCTCTCCTTTGTCTGACACAACCATTTCAGGTCTTGAAGTCTGCACTAATGAGCTGATGGTCTGAATCAGGTGTGTTTGATTAAGGAGACATGGAAATAATGCAGTGTTGGGGGGGCCTCCATGAGCATGGTTGGGAACCACTGATCTACACATTTTCCTTAAACCTTTTTTTCTTACAAAATTGTATTTACAGTCTTCAGGCTTATTAATTTCTCACATGCTATTCTATTCTGTTCTAATCTCAGGGGCTCAATGACCAGTCTGGAATCCAGTCACAGTGGTTTCTCTCAGCTCAGCGCCGCCACCACATCCTCCAGCCAGTCACAGTCCAACTCTATGATCTCCAGGTAGAATAGAAAGAGATTTAGGCTCTAAAATGTTTTATCAGTTCAGTTTCTAGATTCTCAATAAACCATTACTATTCTTTCTCTGTTATCTATCCCAACACTGTATCACTCCATGTCAAGGACCTGACGCATGCTCACACAACTAAAAAGAGTATAAAAGATAAACTTACCTAAAAGGATTTTAGTGGTGGTAGGGTTTTTTTTTTTATGGTTAAAGGGCTTGAATCTGCTTTGCCATAGCGCTCAGCTGAGCCGCAGGTCAGTTCATAGGCCGATTGTGCTTTGTGTGAGTGTCCGAAGGAGCTCACACTTTACCATGCATTTCTACATTTCCCATGGACTGCATGCTGAACTAAGCAATACATGTTCTTCAGATTGGGAAAGAGCCTGAAATGAATGCGCTCACTTACACATCTCAAATACTGCACATAACTACATATATGCACTTAGATCTGCCATATCACTAGGAGCTCATCCTCTTGGTGAATTGTTGTTAGGTCAGTGGGAGGGCATCTGCAATAATTTAGAAGAAATTTGTACTATTTGAATTTCTATTTATCATAAAATGTTTAAGGAGACTGGGTTAAGTCTTCTTGGGTGCTACAAGCTTGTTTCCTCATTGTTAGTGTGTAGCTAGACTTGCATTTTGAAAATGGCAAAGTGTTCAGTGAAATAGTCACAGTGTTAGATATAGTCTTCAGTGCTTACTACTAGTGTTAGCTTGAATTTTGGCTTTGTGGAAATGCCTTGATATCGAACCTCAGACTTGCTGCTGATCAGTTCCTATGCAGTCAGCCAATCAGTGCTTGGAATGGTCATTCGTATATTAATAGGTCAAAGCATTCTTTAAAGACAGCTTTACTGGAAGAGGGGCAGTGTAAATTTTGTAGTGAATTTTATCGTTGCTCCAACAGAATAGTTAAATTTGTTTTTATTTTTTCTGTATTATAAAAGGAAAGAAAAGTTTTTTTTTGGGGGGGGGGGGGGGGGGGGGGGTTGCCTCTTTCGTTTGACCGTTTCAATTAGCAAAATCTTGAAATGGAGTGGGGTTGTCTAGTGAACACAATCTAGTGAAACATGCTCCTTAAAGACTTTGTTCAGGTTAGAATATCAATCAGAATTTAAAACAATATGCTCAATAAATGGATGAGAGCATGTCCATTAATCCAGGTGACTTTAACATGTTTGACAACCTGCACAATAAACTAGTCTCACCTGTTTAATGTCCTGTGAGAATATGTCTGTTTCCAGGTGAGGTTTACCTGAGGACAGTGGATGTACTCACATTTAACTTGCAACGGTTGTTTGAATCATGCTGGAGCCAATAGTCTAAAAATACTCCCTCTCCTTCATTTCTTAGACTTATTAGTCCTGATCTCATGGACAGGACACTTTGGGGAAAAGGAGATTGTTACACTTAACAACTAGTTTTTGCATGTCATCCTAGAATGCTGATCGTAATATGATACATTTACAGTGTACTAATATTCTGGAAGTGTAATAACAGTAAAAAAGTAAAGGAGGAACAAGTAATATTTTGTTTGTTGGTTTAAAAAAAATTTAAATTTTGTCATGAGAACTTTTAGGATTATTTTACAACTGTTAAGTTTATAGGTTGATGTTTTTAGCGTGGCGTAAATACAATACAACTTTAAATGCAATTTGGGTTTCTACGGAAATCCTATATCAAGCTACCATCCCTTAAAACTTCTAAACATCTGTGAAGCACATATTCTGAACCATGTGTACTTTGAAATCCTCTCATTTGACTACAAGCTGCCAGTCAGATAGGAGTTTCTGATCTTATGGTTCTAGAATTGAACATTGTTTAACCATGCACAGGTTAGTAGACTTGTTTTATGTGTAGAGTTTAGGAAAAAGTGAGAGATTCTATTTACAGTACAATTCTTAAAATCTTTAACAAATTGCTGTTTGAATAATGCAAAAATCAACATAAGACCAGTGTGTCAGGTGTAACTGTAATGCTTTACTGTGAAGAGAATTCTATATGATTTGTATGAACGTGTGGTTGTTTTTTCACCTCCTTCATTTATCGGTTTTCAGCCATCTAATGCTATGTCAATCATTTTAATTTGTGTCTTACTCTTTCGGCTAGATGAGACCCATGATATTGCCATATGCAAGCATCTATACAGTAAATGTATAATGGCCAGTAATGTGTCCAAAAACACACTCTCTCTCTCTGACGTGTGCACACGCACAAACACGCACATTTGTAGTCTTCCTTATACACCTGCCTTTAACTGATCAGACCAGTGTGTTTGAGAAGTAAATCTAGGGGCTTTCACACCCACCCAGCATTCCACGAACAAGCACCAATATTCTAATTTTGTAAATTGAGCTTAGAATGTTTAGAACGAGAATTAACCAGCTGAATTAAATGAATGTGTTTGCTTTTTGGTCTTCACAGAATCTCACCTTTTCTATGTAATGGTAATTCTCATTATAAAAAATACCAACCTGGATTATGTTTGAATATCTCAAGTGTTTTTCTCATCTGTGTTTGGGGGTTATTAACTTTATGTACATTGTTTTCTCCCTCTGCTTGTATCATTTTTTTTTTTTTTGGTGAGATGTTACTTATCTGTTTTTTCCTCTGACAAATTCTGTATGTGAAAAAAATCTTGAAGTAATATACAATTAGAGCTCCTTTACATTTTTTGAAGTTATTAAATTTGAATTAAAGAGATGCTTATGCTGTGTTCCTTCGTGTGTATGTGTGTGTGTGTGTGTGTGTGTGTGTGTGTGATATTACCTAATCAGAATCAGTAAGAGCTTTATTGTCAAGTGTGTTAGGATCTTCCAGTACAGAAAGTACCAACATAGTGCAGACATATATATAATTTAAAGGGGTCATAGGATGCTACATGCACTTTTACAAGTAGTTTGAACTGAAATGTGTGTTGGCAGTGTGTGTACACAACCACCCTATAATGATAAAAATCCACCCAGTGTTTTTTTTTTAATCTGGTTAAATGTTTTCCCCTTTCTCAAATCGAGCCGATCTCAGATGCCTTGTCTGTGTGATGTCACACAGACAGGCCCCTCCCACAATAGTTTGATTGACAGTAGCGCCATTGTTTTACCGCTGGAGCAGATGTAGCCAAGAATGACTCCTAAGCGATTGAGGTGTTCTGTTGTTGGATGTAATAATGAACATAGCAGTCGTCATTTACTCCCGACACCTGAGCCGCTGAACTGGCAGTGGATTACATTGTTTCTGAAGGGAATGCGCCCCCGATCTACATATATGCGTCATTGTTCGCGCGAATCATTCATGATCCAGCCTCATCTACAGAAGAAGTGAGTATAATGTTTTGTAATGAATCTTTTCAAGTTGCCTTTCCTAATAATGTGCTAATTAGCAAGTTTCACGATGAATGCGGCTAAAGTAAACAGTCTCTCTGAGAGCAGCTCGGAAGAGAGGGGCGGGGTCAGCATAGCTCATTAACATTTAAAGGAAAATGCTACAAAATTGGCTTGATCTGAAAAGAGCTGTTTTTGACAGGGTAAAAAAAGGTGTTTTTACACTACCATTGA